TTTGGTAAGAGAGAAGGTGTAAGCTTAGAATAGGTAGGAGTTGTCTTCTGAAACTAAAGGAAGAGTCCAGTTTGTACATGTCCACACTAATGTTCAAATAATATTCAGAGTTTCTGGAAGTTCTTGTTTGTATGTTACCACCAGAGGTACAAGCTGCACTTATGGGAAAACTAAGTACATGAACTGACACGACATCATCCTTTAATCGAGTATCTCAAGGCCATGGTGGACAAGAAACATATGAAGCAAGTCAGCTTTGGTTCCCATCTTGGTGAAAATGTTTATCCTCTGTTTAAGTAATGAACTGCTGAGATTTTACTGGGACAAAAATTCCCAGTGATCAATGACTTTTTTAGAAAGACATTTCATTAAATTTTCATTAAAGGGCATTTAAAAATGCCTTCTTTACTATCTTAAACAATATGAGCATTTCTCAAGGCTAGGATCAGAAATCAAAATGAATATTCCAGTAAAAGTATGGGAATATTAAGAATATCCAACGACTGAAGCTAGTTGAGAAATTATGCCTAAAATACATTGAACTTTTACAGTGTCCAGGTAATTACTTCAGAAACAGACATATTTATTGCCCTGAATTTCCAGATTTCCTCCCTTTATTAGTTTCCCATTCCTGCTGTGACATTTTACCACATATTAAGTGGGTTAACACAACAGAAATGTATTCTCTTACAGTTCCAGAGGTCAGAAGTCCAAAAGGATTCTTATAGGACTAAAATCAAGGGTAAATGTCATTCCTTCTGGGGGCTCCATCAGAGAATCCATTTCTTGCCTGGGTTTTCGCAGGTTTTAGTGGCTGCCCACATTCATCAAATTGTGCCTACATCACCTCAATCTTGGCTCAGTCATCACTTTGCCTTTACTTCTTCTGTAGTTTAATGTCCCTCTTATAAAAATACTTGTGATTATGTTTAGGTCCCACCAAGATAATGCAGGATAATCTCCCCATCTGAAGATCCCCAGCACATCTACAAAGTCCCTTTTGCCAAATAAGGTAACATTCATAGGTTCCAGAGACTAAGTCCTGGAAATCTTTGGGACCACTATTCAGTCTACCAGAGCTCCTAAAATCTTTTTATGGGAGTTCAAAATGGAACTTTCCCAACTTGTATTTTTTTTAAATTGCCTAAATATAATTTATTTAAACTCTTAAATATCATCCATTAAACACTCTCCAAATAATATATTTTTTTATTCCCATTTGGATCCAGATTTATCAACATCTTTTGGCATATGATTTTGCCTCCTACTTTCACTGAAATTGAACTCATTTGACCTATCTTCCCTAGACTTTATTTAAAAGATAAATTGAATCTCCATCTATTCTCTCTTTATCTAATTCATTTCAAAAGATAAAATGCTCTTCCTATGTTCTAAATCCAAGACTACTTTTCTTACTTTTGATTCTATGCACATTTACTTTCTGTGGTACTTTAGTCTCCCTAACATTTACTGTTATTTTTCTTATTCTTCTTCTTCTTTTCCTTCTTTTCTCTCTCCCTCTTTGTTTCAATCTTTTTTGTCACCAGTCTTCTTAATTTAAAATCTCTTCATTCCACCTCTCCTTGAAAACCTTTCCGTTGAACCTGGTATCTTTACAAGTACATTCTCTTCTACTTATCCTTTAGCCTATACCCATCTCAAAAAAATAGCCCATAATAACTGCTTCTAGCTTATTGCTTCTCACTTAAGTCTTCAACTGCTTGTTTTTATTTTCACTGATTTATATAGACTATCAATCCAATTATCTTCTCTAAGTTCTCATCCTATTTGATCTCTGTGAGCCATTTGACATTTCTGACTGCAAACATCTTGAAAATATATTACTGGTTTCTATGTAAATTGGAACGATTTTTCTTTATCCTTAAACACAACTTCTTATTCTTCTTCTATCACTGCTTCACTCCTTCATTCATTCATGTATTGAATAGTTATTGTATGCTAAAAACAAATGGTAGCTCTCTTTGAAGTGTTACATTAATCTCAATTGTTAGATCCTCTCTTAATCTTCACATTAAAATTAGGTCTTCTCCAAGGTAACCCTTTTTGGTCTCAAGTGCTCCTCCTTAGTTTTGCCAAGTCTCTATGGATCTTATTTTAACTTTCATTGATTTTTATTCATTCAATAAATTTTTGTTAAGAGTCTATTATGTGTCAGGCATTGGGCCATTGCAGATGGTAAGAAGATATATTTCCTGTTCTCAAGGAGTTTTGAGTTCAGAGTGACAGATAAATAATAATAAAATAATCACAAAAATAAATGTAATCAGAAACCACAAAACATGCTTCATAGGAAAATAAATGAGCACTTAAGGCACATACGAGGAAACTTTGGGTAGAGCTCAGGTGGGCTCAGTCTGGGAAGGCTTTGCTAGGGAGTCATGTTTAAGTTGAACTTTGAAGACTGAGAATGGGTTAACTAAGCAAATCATGTCCCAGGTATAGTGACAAACATGTGAAAAGGCCATGTGATGATAAGATGTGTTCAAGGAACTGAAAAGCTCTAAGGGGTGATGTGATTGGAACCAGAGATTGGGTGGTGGGCATGGGTCATGATATAAGATTAAGAAAAATTGGTAGGTGATGGTCACTCTATTCTTTTAGCTCGAGCTGCCATAACGAATACCATAGACTCAGTGGCTTAAACAATAGAAATTAATTTTCTCACAATTCTACAGGCTGGAACTTCATGATAAGGGTGCCAGCATGGTCTGGTTCTGGTGAAGGCTCTCTTCCTGGCTTGCAGATGGCTACCTTCTCACTATGTCTTCACATTGTGGGGGTGGGGGATAAGGGATAGGAGTGGGGAGAGATAATCTTTTTTCTTACAGGGCCACAAATCCTACTGGATCAGAGCCCCACTTTTATGATCTCATTCAACTTTAGTTACCTCCTAAGACCCTATCTCCAGATATAATCACATCGTGGACTTGGGTTTTGACATAGGAATTTTACAGGAACCCAATGCAGTGCATAGCAAAGACCACCAGAAAGTCATGAAGGACTGACAACAGTGAGATAACATGAGCACATTTGGCAAGATAACTCTAGACGGAGGCAGAGAATGGACAGAACATGAGGTCAGTTAGGAAATCTTTTGTGGTAGCCCAGTTATACTCAGACGGAGCTTCCTGCAGTGCTATTGGAAAAGGAAGTGATTCAAGAGTTACACAGGAGATAAACTGAGAAGACATAGCAATTCATTTGAAATGAGAGTAAAGTTATAAGAAGTACCAGGGATGGTTGTTAGGTTTCTAGATTGTTCCCCTCAATAGGTGATGAAGCCATTCAAAGAGATAGGGGGCACTGGAAGAGGTCTAAGTCTAGAGAAAGATCATGAGTTCACTGTGGTATATAGTACATTTCAGGTACTTTTGTGACATTAAATATTGATATTTAACACTTTAATGATAATTGTATTTTGTCAGAATAATTAGTACTAAATGCTGAAACAGATACCCTCTAACTACTAGTGCCTTAAGAAAATAAAAGTTAGCATTTCTAAATAAGAACTCAGTATCTTTCCTACAAACTTCTGTATTATCTAATATTATTAATGATATTCTATTCTCTTAACTATCCCTTAAAACCCTTATCTTCTTTATTTTCCTCATCCTTTTCCCAAAATTGTCTCCATTACCAATTTTTATGGATTCTATGATGGTAGTGTGTCTTAAATCAGAGCTCTCCCTTTATTTCCATTGCCAATAAATGAGTGAATATTTTTATTACTAGCTCAAATGTCACTTTCCTCTTCCTATTTGTCAGCCAAATAAATTTTTATGTATTTCACAACACTAAAATAAAAACAGGAGTGACAATGTCAAAATAAAAGTTATTACTATGTTATGAATCATTCCCATGAGAGTAAACATTTCATTCTTTACTATTCTTAATGGGATCTCCCCTTTTCTCCCTTATGTTATTAAAAAAAAAAGTGTTCCAAGTAATAATTTGTGCTTACACATTTGGCTTAAGTGTAACACATATAATGCAGTACCCCAATCATCAAATAAATGTGGATTCACCATATCCACCAAGTCAGCCTTGCGCACGCTCTGATATTTAGAAATGCAATAAATTTAGGGATGGGGTTACCAAACTTCCCCTAAATTCTAGGTCACCCTACTTTTGTGGTGGACTCTACCATAACTGGATATTCAGAACATGGACAGATTAGTATTACACAGAATCAAGCCAGTCCTTTAGATCAAACCTTGACCTGAAGCAACTGGTGGAGGAATAAAACAATAAGATGACATGGCTTTTGTTAACACCCACCTGAATTTGCTTTAATGTAAAACTTCTGTTTCCAGTATAACATTTTGTTGCTAGACACTCCCTGGTTCTTAAAACCCTTGAAGAGTCAAGTTTACCTTTACCCTTTCCAGACGTCATGTAACTCCAATGAAATGTGTAATTTTTTTACAAGGTCGAGTAGCCGATTGTTTATGATCTGGAACTGTTTCCCAACACTTTTCACTTCTTGTGGTTATATTTGCCCGTCAAGATGAAAGCTTCAGATCATCTGATAAAACCCGTCCAGACCTGGCAGTTAGAGTGACCATGGACAATTCGTGTCGACTCACCTCTCCTCCCACTTTTGCATCTTGTAGTTCCTGAGGAGCATTCAATCCAGTGCGCTCCTCAGGAAGCTGGCTTACCTGGCCCACCTGGCCCTATAGGCCACGCCCTGAGGTCCTCCTGTCGCTCTAAGAGCCAGTCGCTTCACGCTCTTCCCGGGCGTCCGCTCCACGCCCCGCCCCGCCCCCGTCGCGAGTCTATCTTCAGACCCCTCTCGCTCTGGCCCCGCCTCTTCAGCTCCCCAACGTCTTTAGCGTCTCCGCCAGAGCCTGCGCCTGCGCGTGAGCCCTGGGGCCGAAGTCGGGGCGCGCGGTGGCTGGAACACGGAGAGCGGCGGGCGGTACAGCCAATGGGAGGCGGCGCTGGCTAGCGGCTGGGAGGCGGGGCCTGCGCGAGTGTTAGGTTAGCGCGAGGCGTGACCTAGTTGACAGGCTTTGAGGTGCTGCTGTGGCGGCGGCCGCGGGGCTGAGGCGGGTGGGAGCCGAAGCCTAGCGAGGGCAGAGGGAGGAGGGCGGCGACCAGAGAGCTGAGAACGGCGCGGGACGCGGAGCCTCTCGCACTTTTTCTCTCCCGAGTGCCTCCTCCCACCCCTCCCACTCCACACACACCCTGTTTGCCCGTGAGCCTGGGGAACTTGCAGCTTAAAGCCAGCCACCCCCACGGCAACATGTATCCCAGCAACAAGAAGAAAAAGGTGTGGAGAGAGGAAAAAGGTAACCGGCCGGTCGAGTCCCGGGGATGCGGGGAGTGCGGGTGGGGTGGGGGCGGGGGTCAGGGCTGTGGGTGCCGCGGAGCCCGTTGCCCGAGCTCCCGCCTCGAGCCCGCCCGGCCGGTGCCGCCTCCCTTGCGGGTCCGTGTGTACACACGCGCGCGCACAGCGGCGTGCACGAGCCGCCCCCGGGCACCTGCAGCTCGCGCACGTGTGGGCGCACGCCCCTCTCTGCCGCCCGCCCCTCTCCGTCGCCGGGCGCGCCCGGTCACCTCTCGTTTTGGAGCTACCTTCGCCTCGTTCGCGGCGTGGAGCCCCGCGCGGCAGCCCCCGGGCGCGGTCAACTTGTTAAGGTCCCCCACCCTGTCCCCGGACCCCAGCTGGGACTTTCCGACTCCCGGCCGGGTGTCCCGCGGACACGTGCTGCAGGCGGGCACGAAGGCTGCAGCTCCTGCTGCGCCTCCGCGCCCCTTCGGGCCCTCGTGCATTCACTTCTTGCCTCTATCCCCCTAACGCCCAGCTGACAGTGTCCCCACCTTCTGGTGTTTACCCCTTCTCCGGGTCCCCTCTTTCTGCGCCGCAATGTGACTTCTAAAACGCGAAACTCTAGGGGGAACCTGAAAGAAGCGTCTTGACAGTGAGGATAAGTGCCTTCAGAGAAGTCTGAATGAGCGTTCTTCTGCAGTGTGTTTCTCTATATTCCTTTCCCATTCATAGTCTGAAGTTGCTTAGAGTGAGATTGTGAGACTGATGTCACTCTGTGAATGAGCCTACCTCTGTATTTTGTGCGTATCAATTGAGGTTTATCCGAATCAGCTAGATCGACAGTATCAACTGAGGTTTATCCGAATCAGCTAGATCGACAGTGGCACTGATAATGGACATATATAGTACTAGAAATTTTAGAGTATAAAATAATTATGCTTTGCTTTGCAGTAGCAGTTAGTTACTTTAGTTTCAAAACACTTTCAACAAAGATTTGCCTTGTAAGCATTAAAAAATCATGCCCATTTTTATTGATCTGGAAATGTTAGCTTTGTATGATTAATAATAAGGCAGAATATTGGAAGATGGAGATTGTTTTCAATGCGTGAATGATTGATAACATTATAGTGATTGCTTAAGAACTACTTTTCTGTCATAACAGATAAGTTCCTAAAGTAACAGTGTTATAGTGGTTCCTTTATTTAACATCTGTGCAGTTGGACTGTGACAGCAAGCCTTTTAGAATGTCAAATACCTTGGTTTTTTTCTTCTTTTGCTTTTAACAATAGGGAAAACATAACCAAATTAATATTTTCTGAATAAAGAAGCAAATGCACAAAGAAGGCATTTAGCAGATCTTGGTTTTTTTTCTTCTTTTGCTTCTAATAGGGAAAAATAATCAAATTTAGTATTTTCTAAATCATGAAGCAAATGCACAATTAAAGAAGGCATTTAACAAAGTAAATTTCTCTTTTCCAAAACTAACCTATTTTTGTGTGAAGTTTAATGTTGAAGGAAAAAGTTATTGTGACGTGAAGACTTTAATGTATGTCTCAGTATCTTGAGATGTCTCTTTTTGGAGAATTAAAAAATTTATACATTATACCATTAATAGGGAGCTAGGGATTTCCAGTACAGTAGTCACTTTTAAGAAGCTGAGCTTTTTCTTTTCATTACACTGGAGAGGATAGTGTCATATTTTTACAGCTGTTATTTAAATCTAAAGATAGGCTTACCTACCTCATTGAAATGTCAAGGCATTCTGTAAACATATTTTAACTCAGTATGCCATCAAATAAGCGGGTCTGCTTACATGTTGGTTCACAGAGAAAAGATTTATTACAAAGGTGAAATGAGGCATTCTTTTAGGAAGTTTTGTGTAATGGCAAAGAAACTGCATATGTCTGTGACCTCAGTATGTCTCATGGTTTGAACAAATAACTAAGGAGTTCTGAAATACACATGTTAACTAGTTGTTAACTAGTGAGCCCCAATTACAAACAGTTAATTTGTATTATCATTTCAAGTACTGAATCTTAAATTATCTCATTGTTTACATTAATGTCTCAGTATTGATCTTGTTTTTGTTTTAAGTGTCTATACTTAACTTTTAAATTAATGGAATGGCAGAGACCAGGTTGCATTACTTTACGTATTTTCTGACATTAAAACTTCAAGTTACTTCATAATATTTTTCAACCTGATCAGTGACACTACAATATTTCCATATCAGTGATCTGACCTTTTTTAGTGGTAAGTGCTTGTCACCCCCTTTCCTCTTCTATGTGATTATTCCAAATTTACCATTCCTTTCAAGCTTCCTATTCCAAGACCCCATCCTCCTATACTTAACGGATGATATTGCCTTTTAATTCACACAGAAAATACATGTCATGTAACATGACTAGCTCTCCCATCTTTATGCATAGTCTGATTTGTCTGTTTCTTTACATGTCCTTTGTTCTTAGAGGAAGTACTTTTCTTCTTCATTTTAAAGTTAACCGATCTGCTTGTGCTCTTTATCTCATCTGTACCCTTTGAGATCTTGTGCTACCATTTGTTCCCTTTTGGTTATGTTTAGTTTCTCAGTGTTTTCAAGCTCCTCTCCTCAGCCTGAAACAATGCTCAAGTATCCTCTATTCTAAAGTAGAAAATTTGTCTTTTCTTCAGGCCCTCAGTCTCCTGAATCTCAATTATACTCTAATGAAGCTAATGGTCCTACAGTTATTTCATAATAATGATGATGGTACTAATATAAAAATCATTATTATTTGAGTTCTAGTTGTGTGCTCAGCACTATTCTAAGTACAGTACTGCCCCCTTTTCCATGGGGGATATGTTCCAAGATCTCAAGTGGATGCCTGAAACTGGATAATACTAAGCCTTGTATATACTATGTTTTTTTCCTATACATATGTACTTATGATAAAGGTTAATTTTTAAATTAGGCACAGTAGGAGATTAACAGCAACAATTAATAATAATGAATAGAACAGTTATGACATTATGCTTCAATAAAGATTAGTATGAATGTGTTCTCTCTCTCTGTCTCTCAAAATACCTTATTGTATTGTACTAACTCTTCTTGTGATGCTGTGAGATAATGAAATGCTTATGTAATGAAGTGAGGTGATGATGTAGGAACTGTGATGTTGTGTTAGGTTACTGCTGACCTTCTGACAATGCATCAGAAGAAGGATCATCTGCTTCTGAATCACAGGTGACCTTGCAAAACTGAAATTGTCAAAACTGAAACCATGGATAAGGAGGTACTTTTTGTACCTTACGTGTTGTTATGTCACTTAATTCTCACCAGCCCCGTGAGGTAGTATTCTGTAGGGTCAAGAGCTTTGAACATCATTTGTGTGGCTTTGAATCCCAGCTGTACTGCCTACGAGCTCTGGCAGCTTAGGCAAGCTATTCAACCTCTCCGTCTTAGTTGCCTCATCTGTAAATTGAGAATATACCCAATTCAAGAAGAAATTGAGCCATAAAGAGATTAAGTAATTTAAGATTTAAGTGATTTGGTATTATCACCCAATCAGCTCTGTTAACCACATCGCTTTCTTTCCAATGCTGTTCATGACCCAGTTGATAAAACCATTGGCTTAGTTGTTACTCTTCCTGATCTTCCTATAGCAGCTGACAGTATTTCTCCTCTCTACTTATTAAAACTCTATTTTTCTGCTGGTTTCCATGTTCACTGGGACCTTGATTTACCTTGTACCATCTAAGTTTTATTTCATTTTTCTCCTCTTTGGGTCCCTTCCCTAAAAGTTGTTTTTGAGGTTTGGTCTCTTATATGAACTTCCTAAAAGGTTAGGTTAACTTTCAGAAGTTTAGGTTACAATTTCCAAACTCCAAACTCTTTAGGCTAGACCTCTTTCCTGAGTTCCAGATTCTTTATTTCAACTTGTATGCCCTGTAGGCATCTTAAATTCATACAGGTTGACCCTTGAGTATTGTAGTATTCTGACTTGAATATATCACATCTGCCTAAAATATCTATTTTTTGTTTTGTTTTTGCCTTCTAATGTGGCTGAACAAAGCACAGTTCTAGGAGCAGGGAAAAATGTTGTCTCCCTGTTCTTGTTCACTGGTGCTTCCATTAATACTTTGCAGTTTATTTCTGTGAAAGAATCTTTTAAAGTGATTATTTTATGAGGGTTAGATTACCTAAAAGTAGATACTATCCATAAATCCATTCACTTTATAATTTGCTGAAAGGGAATTGAGGACTATCAATATCTGTATATTGTGGAGACCTTTGGTAAAGCATATGATACATAACAGCTGATGTACAGAATGAGTGAGGATGCCTGTGTCAGTTTTTATATTGATTTCTTATTTCTTTAGGTTAAAACAAATATAAATAGAATTGCTTACATTATTTCCCCCTGTGTCTTAGTGAGATTGTTTTTGTGTACCTCCTGGGATATGCACAATCAACTTTGAATAATACTGGTCTACTTTATAGGATAAAGGTTGAACTGCTCAGCATGGTATACAAGTTCCTATACATTTTCATTTTAAGTTCACTTTTCTGGCCACTTCACATAGCATATCATGCAGCTTCATCAAGCTACTTATATCTCCTTATCTTTGTTTACATTTCTTTATTAGTCTGAAATATCCTTAGTTGTTACCTCTTCATGACAAAATTCTTCTTATCCTTCAGGAAATAGCAGCATACACATCCTCTCTTTTTGGGGAGCTTTTCCTAGAAGGTAGTAGAGTAATAGTGGCTAAAAGTATAGGCTGTACTTTTTGTCTAGTGGATATCTGACTTGATTTTAATGGAAAGCTCTCTTGCTTTGGACAAACTACTGAACTTTGATGTGCTTCATTTCCCTATCTGCAAAATAGAGGTAATAATACTGTCAATTTTGGTGAGTTGTTGGGAAGATTATTTCAGTGTAATTATACATGTGAACTACCTGGCACATAGTTCTTTATAAGTGACACAACTATTATTAATTCTAAGATACATTTAAAAATAGTGTTATAATCAAGATGTATATTTAAAGTATTGCTTGTATTATCCCCACAATGATGTTATTAAATTGAAAGTATACTTTTATTGTTCATGACATCATGGGAAATATCTTGGTGGCTGCCTTTCTTGTACTCTTAGCATTTGTACATACCTGTCTTAGGACTTTGTTTTTTATTTGTGTAGGTATTATTTTTTATCTTTACATTTCCTCTTGTCTTCTGTTCTCCTCAAGGTTAAGGATACTTGCAGCATATAAACATATCACCTGGCACTGTCAACAGATGATAATAGAAAGAGTTTACTTATTTCTTGGGCTACCTACCACAAGAGATTCTTTCTTATCAGGCTTTGATGTTTCTTTTTTTTTTCTCCTGCTAAATATAATATTAATTTCACACCTTTCAACCCTCCAATACAGAGTCATTAGATTGGCATTTTGGTATTTCTCAAGCTGACACCAATTCTTTGGTTAGTTTAACATGATTAATATGTAAATTATAAAATAATTTCTGAACTTTAAAGTTAAATACAAATGGAGATTCTGCTTTTATTTTGCAAGAACGTTTACTGAAGATGACCTTAGAGGAGAGACGCAAAGAATACATAAGGGACTATGTTCCCCTGAACACCATCCTGTCGTGGAAGGAGGAGATGAAGTGCAAGAGCCAAAATGACGGTAAGTTTCTCAGAACATTTGTGGGTAGATACTGTTGTCGTTTATTTATGACTTCTGCAGGACAGTTGTTAACAGAAATGAATAACTGGCATGCTGTAAAGAGATTATAAACTTTTTGGAATAATTGCTCAGTTGTCATTTAATTGTTTTTAGCCATCTATTATATGTATTTAAACAACTAATGAAATTATATTAACAATTTATGTTTTGAAGTATATCACATTTGTATTACGGAACTACTTATAGGTACTTTAAAAATTATTCTGCAATAGTTCTTGGAGCAACTGATACTAGGGATTTGCTACTTTGGTGGTATGATTTTTTTGTTTTGATTAAGTTCATTTATATGGGATTTCTTCAACTTGTTTTAAGGATTGGATACAGTTGAAAGACAGTGTATTAGGAGGGATGGAGAAAAACCAAGTAACATTTCACATAATTTTAAAGAACAGTATAAATTTTGCATGTTGAGGTATCATGTCTACATATAAAATACTTGTATTATAAAATTTATTCTTTCTCAAAGTCTTTATGATTTGATGAGAGCCTAGACTGTTTGAGGGAAAATACGCATTAGAATATAAATGAAATTTTAAGTTTTAAAAGCATACATGGAAAAAATTCTAAAAAACAACACAGATTTAATGTATATTTAATATGCTTGTTTCTGAATTAATGCTCACTGATGTTAATGGTGTAGATGTGAAGTTTAGAAGAAGCAGGGTGTTTTTTTTAGGATACTTAACAGTTGAGAAAGAAAGTTAACTTTATGAAAGGGACTTGGAATATGCTAATTTCATAGGTTGTGGCCTTAGATTGATGGAACTATGCAGGATACCATGACCCAAGACAAAAAGACTAGCATGGTACTCCTGTGGAGAAAATCTGAAGGAAATAGCAGCCAAATTATGTTTTGGTTCTATAAAGAGAACACGTTTACCTGAATGTTTGGGCTTCGAATTTTGTTTTTCTAAGAAGTTAAAGCATGTGGGTTTTTTAGATGTTACTCTGCATGGAAACATGTTCAACCTTGGCAAGTGGGTAGTGGCTCTACCCCAAATTCTAATGGGGTCTTTGGACAAGCTGATTTGTATGTACATATCTTACCTGCTTGCCTAGTGTCTTCAGTAAATGCTGGTTGTTTTAATAATGGTCTAATTAAGAAATTGAAAGAGAAGGTATGGCTGTGTAATAAAAAGAACGGAGATCAAATTACAGAGTTCTGGGTCTTGTCTGACTTAGGGCCATGTGCGTCTTGATGTAGTTTCAGTAATTCTTTTGTTTGTAAGAAGCAGGTATTAAATACTTATGCTCCATTTTTTATGGCTAGTAGATCTCTCTTTTTCCAGTGCTTCATTCATTTGTTTTTCTTGGCCAGTATTTGAGCTGGTCCAGTTTTTTAAGGAGGCATTGCTATGTTGTTCTTTTTAAACAAATTTTTCCAGTGCAATAGAAGTAGATAGATTGCTGTTGCTGCCAGACAATTGACAAATCATTAGTGATACCCACTCTTTATTGCCCTATGTGGAGTCTGCTCACCTTTACGTAGAGGCTTGACCTTTATGTATGTAACATTGTAGGCTTGGACAGCATTGTTAGAGAATTCAGAGTTGGATGTTTTCAATGATACCACACACCAAAATATGTCTCCCAAATCAAAAAAGACACATTGAAAAACACCTGACATTGTTATTCTATAACAAGATCCCATGTGTTTAATTCTATCTGCAAATATGAGCTTTATAAGTGGTTTATAACTGCTCTATGTATTTCAGTTTTTTCCTGCATTCTTTTTTGAATGTGAAAGTCCTTCATGGGGAACACGATGATGTGATCAAAATTGTATTTCTATTAAACAGTGTTTTATTCTTTCCATCTAATGTTCCTTGCTCCTTTCCGTTGTGACCTAGAAATTGGTGACTGGCCTCGTCTTTTTTTCATGAAACAGAATGGCTCATTTTACAAGTAATATCTATTCAATTTTTGACATGATACATATCTTTCCTTAAGTGCTTTCTTCCAGTGTTAACCTATTCAGCGCTCAGTTGCACCAAACTGTTAGTCAGCTGAGTTTTAGTATTTTAACAGTTTGAACTATCCTTTAGAAACATAAATTAGAAAGTGATAAAGGACAAGTATAAATATAGTTAACACTTTTATATTTTATTTTGAAATGTTTAAGCTACTGCTTTAAATGTATATGTATATAAGTAGGTATTGATATTTATGATAGTTTAGTTTTTTAAGTATGAGAATTCAAACAAAGTTTTAAAAGAAGTCTATTTATAATTGTTTGTCACATAGTTTCTGGTTTATAGGTGATGAATAGTGTTTATTAGCAAAGTAAAGCAATTTTAAATTTAATAGTTTATTACTCTTATCTATATTTTTATAGGCTATTTTAGCCTTGATATCCAGATTACATGGGAGGTTCTTTTTCTTTTTGCTTTGCTCAATTTTCTTTTACTTTAATCAAATGTCTCTTGTTATTATATTGTAGTAGAAAGTTAAATAAAAAGGCTGGGAATGGCTAAATGTGTTTGTCATAATTTTGATTTTAAGCTGTTTTAACAAAAGGAAGCCAAAAATTGCCAAACAATATCATTTTTACTTTGAGTTAGTACTTTAGCAATATTGAAAATCTGTGCATCAGAAGAGGAAAGAATGAGAGATGATTACCAAAAAAACACTCCAAATCCCATTTGTTTACTGGTCATGTTCATATTTGTCAACTATTATTTAGAGTAGATTTCTGAAATTATATGCTTCTAATTACTTCTTCCTCTTATTAAGAATTATATAATAATTTGATTTCATTTTTCAGTTGCTCTGTTGTAGATAATTTAAAAATTCTTGTCTACACCTTGGAATAGTGCCTTATGTGGAGGTGGGCTCAGTCAGTATGTTGAAGAAGAATGCCTTAGAGGATAACAGTCTACAAGGGATAATTCTTCTTCCTTTTTTCCCAAATTTTAAAATGAGCATTAAAAAACATATATAAAAATAGAGTATATAATGAACCTTCATGCACCCATCACCCAGTTTCAACAGTCAATACATGACCAATTTTATTTAATCTATACCAGTGCTCCCTGCACCTTTCTTCCAGATATTTTGAAGCAATTCCTGTACATCATATCAATTTTATCTGTGAATATATGTATGTGTGCATATGTATGTATCTCTGAAATATTGGGACTCTTTTTTTTCAGTATTAACCACAATACTATGATCACACCTAAAAATTAATAATTCTTTAATTAAATATCCCATTAATAATCACATATTTGTCACTGTCTCTTAAAGGGTTTTGCTTTTTTATATAGTTGGTTTACTTTAAAATCTAAATGAAGCCCACTTATTGCATTTAACTGATGTATTTAAGTTTTTTAATCTATAGTTTCTTTTTGCTCCTTCCCCCCCCCCTTGTAATTTATTTAATGAATAAAGTAGGTTGTCTTACGAATTTTTCAAATTTTGGATTTTGGTGACTGCATCTTTGTGGTGTCATTTAACATGTTCTTCTGTCCCTATGTTTCTTATAAACTGATAGTTAAATCTATATCAGACTTGGGTTTAATTTTTTTTGTAAAGAATACCAATTATTGAACTTTATTTCTCATAATATCACAAGGTACATAATATCTGGTTATTTTTGTCTGTGGTTATAGGATTGATCACTAGATTCAAGTATTGTTAGCCATATCCATCCATTATAAAGTTCCCTATCAGCTTTTCACCTAATGGTTTTAGCAGGTTGCTTAAATCCATTATTTTATTAGAGGTTGCAAATAGTGTTATTCTAATTTTATCTTTCTGTTCTCATTTATTACTTGGATTTGTATGAAGAAGTCTTTTGTTAACTTTTTTTTGTGTGTATGTACAGTACAGTTTATATAGAAAAGGCAGAAAAAATGCTAGATTTCCTCTTATTTACAAGTTTTTGGGTTAATTCCCCAAAATCTTTCTAACATAACCAGAGTTCTTTCTTTTTAATTTTTAACTGTCATTTTAAATTTCTTTCTCTTTCTCCACTACACATGTATGTTAAATGGGAATGCCCTAATGTGAATAGTCTACAAAGGATGTGTATGTGTGTGTGTTAAAATGTTATATGTACCATATAAATACATACAATTACTAAACTGTAGTCCTAAGGTATAGTAGAAAGACAAAGCTAGATATAGAAATATAAATGGATGGATGGATATGACAGAAAAATGGTATTGTTTTGTAGGGACAAAAATTCAGTTCTCAAGTTTAACTGGTATGCATTTTTTTCTCCTTTGCTGTTTCCACACTAAGGTTCTGTCTACTAGAAAACTAGTCAGAGAAGCATTGTTGTTACTCTGATTTGGGCAAGGCATTGGCAAAGAGTTTTCCATACTTAAAGCTAATTTTCTACTGTTTGGTATCAGGGAAGGTAGCTATAGTTGTATGTTTACATTGATTTGAATCATTACTTTTAATGTTTATATGGAACAGCAAAGGAGGAAAAACAATGATGAAGATGGACTAAGTGAAAACTATAAAATTACTTTACTCAGGTATGACTAAATATTTTTAAAATGGGTAATTTAGAGAGAAACTTCATCTTTCATTTCTTACATGTGTTATGTTATAATCTAAGTTTAGGTTATTTGAAAGCACTTAACTAGAAAATGTGAATTGGCAAGTCTTTTAAGTCTGAATCTCTTTTTATTGAGGTGTATAGATATATTTTGAGATACCTGTTTTAACTAGAGGCATGTGTGTAATCTTCTGTTTCTTTTATATTAAAAATACTAGCATGGTTAGCTTAGCAGTTCAACCTTATTTTTTAGAACCAGTTTCATCTGTTGAATTATTCTACAGGAGATGATGACTGACCAAATAAATAAAAGTTAAGTTCAAACTCCTGAATCTGTCAGTCACTTTGAGATCTTATTTCAATGTGAGGATTGAATTTTGTTTTCCTATGTTCCAAGTTCACTGTTTGACACTTAGAAATCATCAAAGTG